TTAGTATATTAATATACTAATGTGCTCAGATAGCAGAAGCTTGGGCAAGTAACGGGAGCTTACTCCATTATTTGGCACTAGGGATTTGAACCGCTGAACTGCCAACCTTTCTGATCGGCAAGCTCAGCTTCTTAGCCACTGAGCCACTGCGTCCCTAGCACATTAGTATATTAATATACTAAGAAAAGATGCGGTTAGCCTTGCTTGCCATTCCTACCTCAACTTATGTCCTAATTTCTGCTATCTGACTTAACTCCTTTACTCTGCCTATTGGGAAGGCCAGTATTATCATGAATAATGACAGCAACAAAAACCACCTATTTAGGTTGTGACACTGATAAATAGCTGCCCCTCTTCTCATTTTGCACATAACATCTGATCCTGATGTTATGTTTATGTCCCATAAATGTTTTGCTGAAGCTGTTCTCTCCACGTCTTCTCCAATATTCAGTCAGCTTCTGCTTTAATTCAAGTTGGCCACAGGAAGCCTTTGAGTATCTACAGGCTTTTAAGGACTTATGTTCCTTCCTGTCCACAACATCCGTGTCCCAAGGGCCTGAATTCTTAATGAATCAGGCAGAGCTCTATAAATCATGATCAAATACATCGTCACCACAGTGTGCAATTCATTTGGAGCTGAGGCAAAAGAGGGAGGGAGAAGAAATCTGAGGAAAGACAGGATAAAAGCACCTTCCTGAAAGATTGAGTGTAGATCAGAGATTAGTTGTCAACTTGAGCTGCTGGCACTTTATCTCCTGCACAACAACTAGCAGTTCTGTGAAACCGCTTTCTTCATCACGCTTAGAAGTCTCCTGTATCTTTTTTTTTTTTTAAAAAAAAACAAGGCTTTGTTTCTACCTATCTGAGACAAGGTGGGGGTGGGGGGAAGGGGGGGGGAAGGTAACACACCACAAACCCTAAGGGGCATTGTGTCTCTTTCCATAACGTTTTCACTGAGCACTTGCCTTGAATTAAAATGTTCTTTGGATGAAAGCAATTAAGTGATTTGAAGAAAGGTGTCGGTGCTTCAGGTCTTTAGAAACTCTATACCCTAAGTTTGCAAAAGTATGTCAGAGGCACAACGAAAATGCTCAGATTTTGTCAAAGGGGGAAAAGGGCCACGACACAGGAAGGGAAACTTGTTTTTAGGTTTTGCTGCCTGCAAAACTCTCTGAAACTTGCTTATGTCAGGCCTCCTTTATGAAATGAGAGAATTCTTAGTTCAAAGAGAACAGTTTATGGGACATACATCAAAGGCTCCCTCTTCCAAGTATGAGACTATCTAGGCTTATTAGCCATAATTGTGAGCAGCTAATATTTGAGGAGAAAAATCTTAAAGTATTCCATAGCATAGGCTGCTTTCAAACTTCATATATTTCTGTTTCACTGCCATGGAAAGTGATTGATTCCATTTTACTGATGTAAAACTGAGGCAGAACCAATTATCTGCCTCACAACTCTTAAAAAAATCTGAACCCAACTAACAGTTCTTAGGTAGAACAGAATGAAGATTTAAACTTTAAAACTGAACTAAATATTTTTCAAGTTTTCCTTTCGTAGGAGAAGTAACCACTTCAACCATTTTATGAATTTTGCAACCGTTTTTGCTATTCTGGCATTTCTGCTTTCACATCTCTCTTAGATCTCGCACAGCTTAAAGTTGTCAGTGAGAAAGTCCTGGCTTGAAATATTAAGCCTCCTGCTTGTTATCTATTTCCAACTTCTGCTCCATCTACAATAATGTACATGAAACATTCAAACAACATATATCTAAAGCCCAGTTATTATGTTCCTTATTGAGCCAATCAAATACTGAGAATGCTGCTTAATATGAGTGGTGTGCCGATACCACTGACAGAAACAAAGCCTATTTCAAAGGGCAGTGCGTCCTAAATGGGCCTCACACACCTCCAGGCAACAGGTTTATCAAACCCAAAAGGGGATGCATGAGGAGGAACACTCTGAATGGAATCCATAATGGAAACAAAGCAAAACATCCAGATTCAGTCAAAGTTTTGTTCCATATAGTGTCAACCTTGTGAATTCTCAAGCTTCCTCTTTCTGATATGTATTCCAGATGGATAGTGTGTGGTGTGTGTGTGNCCTTGCCTGAAGTCCACAACTCATTTGGTTAACCAGCTTGATCATCAAATTTACAGAAGATCTAGGATGAAAATTGGAAGTGTGGAACAAAGATCTGAATTATGGCAGGAGGGTTAATCCTAACCCTAACCCTAAAACTACAGCATGAAACCTTGGTATATTTATCACATTCTTCAAACCCAGATGGTTATCTCCTTCAGTTGGTCTTTACAGAGAAGTGGGAATCTGAAATAGGTTCAAAATGGATCTGTTGTCCATGCCTTTAATTTTCTCCTATAGCACATGAAAATGGACGAAGTGGGATAGAGTGCACAAACAAGAAGAAGGGAAGCTCAGTTCTCCTTTATCCTGGCTCTAATACAAATCAGTGCATTTTTTTTAAAGCAGAACTTTCTTTTGTGGTTTTTTCCCCCTCTCATGATGCTCTATCTTTAAGCTGGATACCTCCAATAGCCACTTCAAATAGGAGAAGCCTTCAAAGATGATTCTGTAGACTAAAGTAGGGAACAGCACATCTATTAAGGCACCCAGGATAATGGTCACCTTACCTTCTAGTGACAAGGAATTACTTTTGTTGTTGTTGTTACCTTCACAGTAAATTCTTGCCTTTTGTCCAGGAATACAGGTGACACACATGTTGCTGTCCACAATTTTAGCTTCTCAACTCTTCTATGAAGTAGAATAAACTGGCAAAACTTTTTGGATAAATGTGAACAAGTCGTAGTCCAATACAAAAACTACTATCTTGCTCTATATTGGATAAACACATACTTTTCTCTGTCCTAGGTCTGCTATCCATCCATTTCATTGGATGCCTGTGTTTTAGGGACTGGCAAACACATCCCTATTTTTCCCCAGGTAAGGAAGGCAAAGGACAAGATGATGACTAGTCTGGATTTTTCTAAATGTATGTGCCTTAAAAATTTCATACACAGAAGCTAACTGGGGAGGCAGCAGAACCATAGAACATACAAATATATGTGGTCATATGGCCGGCATGAGTAAAAGCTGA